TTTACATTTAAGGTTATATTGCTATGTGTGAATTTGATCCTGCCATTATGATGCTAGCTGGTTGTTTTGCCTGTTAGTGAATGCAGTTTCTTCATTGTGTTGATGTCTTTACCATTACGTTTTTGGAGTGGTTGGTACTGGTTGTTCCTTTCCATGTTTAGTGCTTCTTTCAGGAGCTCTTGTAAGGCAGGCCAGGTGGTGATGAAATCTCTCAGAAATTGCTTGTCCACAAAGGATTTTATTTCTCCTTTGCTTATGAAGCTTAGTTTGGCTGGATATGAAATTCTAGGTTGAAAGTTCTTTTCTTTAAGGATGTTGAATACTGCCCCTCACCACCTTCTGGCTTATATGGTTTCTGCCAAGAGATCCTCTGTGAGTCTGATCCTCTGTGAGTTTGCAGGTAACCCGACCTTTCTCTCTGGCTGCCCTTAGCATTTTTTTCTTCATTTCAACCCTGGTGAATCTGATGATTATGTGCCTTGTGGTTGTTCTTCTTGAGGAACATCTTTGTGGTGTTCTCTGTATTTTCTGGACTTGAATGTTGGCCTGCCTTGCTAGGTTGGGGAAGTTCTCCTGGATAATATCCTGAAGAGTGTTTTCCAGCTAGGATTCATTCTCCCTGTCACATTCAGGTACACCTATCAAACGTAGATTAGGTCTTTTCACATAATCCCATATTTCTTGAAGGCTTTGTTCATTTCTTTTTAATCTTTTTTCTCTAATCTTGCCTTCTCATTTTATTTCATTGAGTTGATCTTCAGTCTCTGATATCCTTTCTTCTGCTTTTTCGATTCGGCTGTTGAAACTTGTGTATGCTTCACAAAGTTCTCGTGCTGTGTTTTTCAGCTCCATCAAGTCATTTATGTTCTTCTGTAAGCTGGTTATTCTAGTGAGCATTTTGTCTAACCTTTTTTCAGGGTTGTTAGTTTATTTGCACTGGGTTAGAACATGTTCTTTTAGCTCAGAGAAGTTTGTTATTATCCACCTTCTGAAGCCTGCTTCTGTCAGTTCTTCAGACTCATTCTCCATCTAGCTTTCTTCCCTTGCTGGTGAGGAGTTGTGATCCCTTGGAGAAGAGGCATTCTGGTTTTTGGTATTTTCATCCTTTCTGTGCTGGTTTCTTCCCATCTTTAAGGATTTATCTACCTGTGGTCTTGTAGTTGGTGACTTTTGGATGGGGTCTCTGAGTGGACATACCTTTTGTTGATTTTGAAGCTATCTCTTTCTGTTTTTTACTTTCCCTTCTAACAATCAGGCCCCTCTGCTGCAGGACTGCTGGAAGTCCACTCCAGACCCTGCTTGCCTAGGAATCACCCACAGGGGCTGCAGAACAGTAAGGGTTGCTGTCAGTTTCTTCCTCTGTTATTTTTGTCCAACCAGATGTCAGCCAGAGCTCTCCCTTATAAGGTGCCTCTTTGGACATATGGGGGTTGGGGAGCCACTTGAAGAGATAATCTGTCCCTTATCAGAGCTCAAGTGCTAAGCTGTGAGCTCCCTTGTTCCATTCAGAGCTGCTGGACAGGTACGTTTAAGTCTGCTGCAGTGGAACTCATAACCACCTCTTTTCCCAGGTGCTCTGTCCTGGGAAAGTGGGGCTTTATTTATAAGTTCCTGATGTGCTGCTGCCTTTTTTCAGAGATGCTCTGCCCAGCAAGGAAGCAGTCTAGTGACAGTCTGCCAGCAGACGCATTGCTGAGCTGCTAAGAGCTCTGCCCGGCTGCTGTGTAAACTTCCTAGTGGTTTTGTTTACAGAGGTACAGATAGAACTGCCTTGGTAATGGAGGTCTGCCTCAGTAATGGTGGTCTGCCTCAGTAATGGCAGATTGCCTCGGTAATGGCAGACTGCCTCAGTAATGGCGGACTTCCTTGGTAGTGGCAGACTGCCTCAGTAGTGGTGGACTGCCTCAGTAAGGGCAGACACGCCCTTCCTCCAACAGAGCTCGACTGTCCAGGATCCAGCTGCACTTGCCACAAAACTGTCAATCCAGAGCATTTCAGATTGCTGGTCTTTGTGGGGGTGGGACCCACCGAGCCAGACCACCTGGTTCCCTGCTTTCAGTCCCCTCTTTTTCAGTTGAATGGATGGCTCTGTCTCCCAGGTGTTCCAGACACAGTTGAAATGGCTGCCCAGATTTGTGTAAGTTTTTGTGCAGAAACCCATGGTGTCAGGTGAAACCTCCATGCTGGAAACTCACGGTACTTTTTGGCCCAGGAATCTCCTGGTCTATGGGCAGTAAAAACTGTGGAAGAAGCGCAGTATCTGAACTAGAGTGCTGGAGTGGATGGAAAAGCCCCCAGTGGCCTCTGTTGGGTAAGGAGGGGGGTCCTCTGGGGATTGCACTTCCCAGGTGAGGCAGTGCCCTACTCTGCCTCGGCTTGCCCTTCTTGGGTTACACCCACTGTGCAACCAGTCCCATTGAGATGCACCTGGTACCTCATTTGGAAATGTGGTGGTCACTCACCCTCTGTGTTGCTCTTGCTGGGCAGTGCACTTCAGAGCTGTTCCTATTCGGCCATCTTGGCTAGGAACCACCAGACTTGTGTTTTACTGATACTTCAAACATGCAATGGGGGGAATATGGAAAGTTATCTTCTGGCTTTTTTTTTTTGATTCAAGAACACTAATAATTCTAGAACTGTTCAACAGCTATTCTTTTATGTGAAAAATAAAATAAGACTAAAACCAAACAAATAACAAATTAAAAAGATGGAAGAGTAGAAAGAGGAAGAAGAGACAGCATTAGACAGCTTTTACTTCACTAACATAATGATATAGTAGAAAGGCATTAAGTCTCTTAGAGTTGGAAGAACAAAAATACCTTAAATAAAATCAGAAGGTTAGATAGACCGGTGCCTTCAAGGCACAAGTTATCAAAAACAAAAACAACAACTTAAAGGATTAATTCTAAGAAGCAAGAGAAGCTGAAAAGTACAAGTAGGAAAACAGAATAGATGGAAAGATGACATAAAATGGTAGGAGCCAGGAGCACCTCTTAAATACTAGAGAAAATGATTTTAAATATTACTAAAAATTATTAACTCAAGAACTAAAAGCAGGGAATAATGACCATGGTATTAAAGAATAATTATAAGCAAGGCAAAGAAATCAGTAACTCTGAGAAATTTCTGTGCAATAGAATAGGGAGCACCTCAGCAAAAGAATAGGGATAAATGTATGAAAAGTTATCTTTTAGCCATAAATGTATGAAATAGCCATAAATGTATGACAAGGTATCTTTCCTTCTTGCTTTACTCTCAGTGAACTGCTCTGATGGCATGCCCTTATTGTATAGCTTTCATATATATCTAACTTTGCAAAAGTCACTTTGCCTTTCCATTTCTCCATCTGTAAAATGAGAAGCTACTCTCTGAGGTCACTTCAAGCTCTAATATTCTATGATTCTATAACCTCCCTGCTATGGTTTGCATATTTGACCCCACCAAACATCATGTTAAAATTTGATCCCCAATGAGTCGGGCCTAATAGCTACATAAACAGGCTAAGATAATCTCCAAATTTGCTCAGACTACATAATGCTTAGCTTAACACTTGGACTAATTGTGGATAATAAACTACACTGATAGGAGCATTCATAGAAACCATGAAGAGCAGACAAGAGCCTAGAACTCTGGGACATGATATTGAGAAAAGTATCTTATATTATCACTGGGTAGTGAGAATAAAGATAGTCAAGGCTCAGTACACAAGGCTCCCCAACTATGGCACATTGGCATACTGAATAATTTAAACAGAAGGAAATTGAGGAAATTATATAAAGAAGAAGCTCACTCTCTGACCTTCTCCCACCTTTCTCCCCTGAGGCCATAAAAAGAATTCTCTGATCTAGCTTCCAGATAGAATTGTCTGATCTATGGCTTCCCTTTTAGGGTATAGGGCAGGATTCCTCTGGAATGAGGGTCGTATGACCCTCATGGAAGGAAGCAATGGAAATAAAATACACAATATAACCCAAAAAAGGGAAATGAAGACAGGGACACCAAGAAGAATCGGAACAAACAGGCCTTGCTAAGTTTTCCCAGTTTATTACCATTAGATCACACCTTATTTTGTCCAATCATACTGCCTACTTGTTATCAAATCTAAGCATAAAAATACAGTTTTCCCTGTTTTAGAAGGTATTCATTTATAAGGGCTCTTGTGCCATGTAAAAGTTGTATTAAATAAATTTTTAATGCTTTTCTCTTGTTAATATGTCTTTGCTATAGAGTGTCAGACATCAACCTTGAGACGGGTGAGGAAAAGATATTACTTTTTTTCCCTGCAAGGAGTAATCCAAGATCCATGCTGGGGTGGGAGGCAGGAAAAGATGAGGGAGGAGAACCTAGCCTGGTTATAATGCTATATCTAAACTTCCTCATTTGATAATATAAAAACCATTTTTCGGTTTTACTATACAGCCCTTCTGTGTAGGCATTGCAAAAGCTATCCAGTAAAATAGAATGAAAAGTTGTGAATGATTCTCAAAGAAACGTGTCAAGAACTGTACAGCTGCCTGACATAACCGAGTTGTATGAAAGGAACTGGGGAAGTTCACACAGGATGGAATGTTAGATACAAACCGAAACTGCCAGCTGAAAAAGAACCAATTCGTGATTTGATCATCACAAAGTATCGAGTATCTACCCTCAGTCAAACACCAGAAAGAGTCACAAGAGAAACACATAAGCCTAAAGTGAATACACATGCTTAAACTAAGTTCTACGAAAATGAAATCAAGGCCAAAGTCTGCTATTTACTTCCCTATAAGATACGGCACTGGAAAGCAATGGAAGAAAAATGCATAATAAATGTTATTTGAATCTCATGAAACAAATTACAGCTGAATCTTAATCCATTCAAATAATCTTCAAAACTTTTTAGCCTATATCATTTCTTAAGTATTATTCAATTCTAAGTTGTCATCTAAACACCATAGGACTCCACATTAATCCTATCCATAACATTAGGCTACAAACAAAAACTGCTCTACAAAGAATACCTGTTTTTCCCCAGCAGAAGGACACGAAGGCATCTCAGAGTAGAAAGCCCACTAATTTCTTCAATCTGGTTATCGCATAAATCCAAGGATATTAATTTCTGTAGATTAGAAAGATTCTGTATCCGAGTTATAAAATTATGTTGGAAGTTCAACAAACGAAGGTGTTCTTCCCCTTTGATGATAGGACATACAGTCAGCTTTTGTCTAGGAAAAAAATTTAAAAAGTTAATTAGGTTATGATTCAGCTGCCTACCTCCTCTTATGAATATTAGTAGTAGTATCTTTGAGCTCTCACTCTGTGAGGAGAAAAAAATAAGTCGGACCACTTCCAACCCCCATGAACTAAGCGACTTATATTTAATTATAAATCATTCACAAAAAAGCCAATAGACTTTGACAGTGTTTATTATTATGTCTAAGCTCTCATTGTATTTAAAAAAACCCTCAAACATAAGTTATTTCACATGAAATTGACTTAACATGAGAAAACATTCAACCTAATTGCCTTTGGTGATAGAGGTTTAAATGGCTGAAAGAATCTTGTCTCATAACCAGACAAATGCCCTTGGCATCAATCCACTGACATAACAACTGCCCAGGCAACTAAGTCATCAGAGTTAAAAACATATAAAAGGGTCTCTCAGAGAATCACAGGCTCTTGGGCTGGATGACATGTTCAAAAGAGCAAGAAATTCAGCCATCTACAATTCACTTTGATTAAAAAAAAAAATTCATCCTGAGATCCATTAATGGCAAGGTGGACCTTACTTAACATTTCCTCAGAAACTAAGATTTTAAGTATATGTGTACATGCTTAACACTTTGAACTTCGCAGAGCATTTATAGTGCTAGAGGGTAGGATGAAACCTTAAAAATATATGCTTTCAGTTGTATTTAAAACAGTAAGCCATAGGCCAGGCACAGTGGCTCATGCCTGTAATTCCAGAACTCTGGGAGGCTGAGGTGGGTGGATCACCTGAGACCATCCTGACCAACATGGAGAAACCCCGTCTCTACTAAAAGTACAAAATTAGCCAGGCGTGGTGGCACATGCCTGTAATCCTAGCTATTTGGGAGGCTGAGGCAGGAGAATCACTTGAACCCAGGAGGTGGAGGTTGCAGTGAGCCAAGATTGAACCATTGCACCCCAGCCTGGGCAACAAGAGTAAAACTCTGTCTCAAAACAAAAAAAAAAAAGAAAAGAAAACCAGTAAGCGTTTATTATGCAAAATGTTATAATGTATTACAGGTGAAGTAAATGAGTTCAGGGTCCTTTAAGAATTCTAGCAGTAAAATAATAGAGGCTGAAAGCAGGTCCTGAGTGATTCTACTCTGAGAGGTTAAAAGGAGTCTTCAAAGGAAATTCAGCTCTATTTGGGTGTGAACAACTCTAATAGGGAAGTTTATTAGAAATATTCTCTTTCAGTAGAAATCAAGTTAGTGTAAGCTTTGAAGAAAATAAGAGTGTTACTACCATAAGTGAAACTATGAAAATGATCAGAATCTTCCTGATAAAGAGAAAAAAGAATGATTTGCAGAAAAAAAAATAACAGAATGTTAATGGCTAACAAAGATATGATGTTTAAAAATATAGATCCTAAAGAAACCTATTTAAGATAGTGAAAAGCAAAAGAAATTTGGGGTAATATTTAATTCTTTTGATGTGTGGTTAATATTTATAATTAATTTCATGTATTCAATTATTTTATCACAGAATATTTAAAATTCATTTCATATATTCAAGAATTTTATCACATTTCATCTGTTTTATCACAACTGTGATAAATGAATAAAGTTAGTATATAAATTATAAATTAATAAATTATAAGTATTCTACCTTAAAATCTATATCTTTATGTATCAGCTTAGCAAAAACTTTAAATCGTCTCACTTCTGCTTCAGTCTTTTTCTTTTTCTCTTAAACTTACTGATATTCCCCAACTTCTATTTCATCCAATTCTTGAATTAGTCATGACTAAGAAAGGAAAATAAATAACCTCCATCCCCCCTCTTACATAAGCTACAGTAGCTTGAAATAAAGTCACCTTCTTTGATTCTAAACACAGTGGTTAAGTCCTAGTGCCAAGGCTCACTTATATACCGCTTAACCCCACAAACCCCTGTCACTCCACCAAAACAAGCAAGCAAACATACGTAATAACCAGAGGCCCAGTGCCCTCAAGGGAAGTTTCTAGGCCTACAAAACTCTTGAGTTGCTATACCTCCTATCCCATTACTGATACATCTACTGGACTAGGCCTTTGCTTCTGTGTTTCCTTATTGGTGCTGAGAGGCTGCCTTCCTGGTACTCCAGGCCTAACCTAACTCCCAAAACAGTTAGAGCCCAGCTCTTCCAAGCAGTTCTTCTCAGGGTTGGATTCTACTCTTGACCCCTCAGCCTCCTAGCTAAGAAGATACACAGCATGGCAGATCTGCCTTTGGAAGTCACTGAGGCTACTCACTGGCTCTCAAAAATCATCCCTGAGTTAGTTCCTAGCTTCTAGCCAAACTTTCTTGACTGTGCATCCTGGCTCTTGTCAAACTGTGCCTAACTTTATGATATCTTTGTGATTCTGTCAGTTCACAACCAACTTTTGAAGTGGAATCAGTTCTCTTAATCCTGATTTTCTTGATAAGCAAGTCTCCACCTGATCAAAGTTTGCTTCTCTACCCTAGAGGCCCATGCTGTTAAGAACTCATCTTTATAACTGCCTGAGTCACCCCAAGCTACAAAGAAAGTGCCTAACTTGTTACTGGCTCCTGCTAATATCAAGTAACATGAAACTGAAGGGCTGAGGTACTATTTTTTTGCCAGTCTTTTAAATAGTAAGAAAAAAGTTATCATAAAAATCCCGCAAAACATTAAAATGATTATCATGAAAGTTATAAATATTAGACAGCAATCTCAGAAACCATTTATACTGCAAAGACGTCATGAGAGATACTGCCCTTCAGTGTTAGTTTGCCTACAAAAGAACATGTTAGAACCTCCAGCAATTTTTCCCAACTATAAACACAGATAGTTCAATATAATTTGTTGTCAGGGGTGTACTGCTAAGCTAAAGGTATACATAGCAGAGATGTTTGTTCTCTGCTGGTTATGCCGTTGGGGTAGAGGTTGGGATCCTTCATCCACCATTCTACTGTGGATAGTTTCCTAGATGTAAAGATGGGGATCAAGTTCTAAATGCATTTGTTCACTTAAAAAAATTGTATCAAGAGCCTGTTTTGTACCAGGTTCTGTTCTAGATATCAAGAATACAGAACTGGACAAAACTTTCTGTGCTTATGGAACCTGTATTCTAGTAGGAGACAGACAATAAACATAAGTAAATAGTTATTATGTTATAGGGTAATAAACGCTAAGAAGAAAAATAATAAAAGCAGAGAAGGGAGCTGAGACTAAAGCGTGGAAGGGGTTGCAATCTTGGAGAGGATGGCCAGAGAAAATCATCCCTGAAATGATGACATTTGAGTGAAGACCTGAAGGTGGTAAGGGAATGAGCCTAGAGATATGAGGAGGAACAGCATTCCAGGCATTAAGTACCAAATTCCTGAGGTATAATCATTCTTGGTGTATTCAAGGAACAGCAAGGAGGCAGGTATGGTTTGAGCAATGACTGAAGGAGAGTGTAGGAAGATACAAAGCCAATGAAGTAACAGGAAACTAAACTACATAGGGCCCAGGAAGCTCATGTGAGGATTATATTGCAGTTTTTTTCTTTATTGAAATCCATTTTCATCAATGACATATTGTAGAATTGCTATAGTACTCTTGTAGAGTATACTCAAGCTCTTTTATGTTACATAGATATAAAATTCCTCACCATACCTCTGGAAGGAGAAGCAAAACATTGGTTAAAAAAAAAAAAGATTATATCTAGGGAGAAGAATTGAATAACTGGGGAAGAGGAGGAAGGAGGGAGACTTGCATCTTTCAAATCTTGTACCATGTCTATGTATTACCTAGTCAAAAAAAGAAAAGAAAAGAAATTGTCCTCACCTTTCTAGGCTCAACCTGTCTGAGTAAAGAATTTTCTCTTCAGAAGAACGTTGAAGAATAGGAAATGATGACAGTGATGAGCTCACCAAATTAATATGATCACCTATTAAAAATGATATACAAATTACTTAATTAAGAAAAACCTTCGAAGTCTTGAAACTAAAGTCACCTTATATTTGGAGAATTTTGGCACCTATAGATGTCTTATCTAGAAAGTATAGTTTCTATAGCTCTCCATATTTGAAATTACTAAGTTGAATTTGTTTCTTTCCTCTGTAAACCTAAACTATGTGTTCCATATATGCCAAATAATGTTTCCCTTGCCTTACAGATTGGTTGAAAGTACAGAACTACCCCAGTGCTATCTTTATCCCTTTGTAATCCTGACTCCTTAAGTTTTAGCTCTCTTATAACTAAGATGATAGTCCCTCATTACCAGATACATTGGGGCCAGCACTATGACAGCCCTGTCGGATTCTGGACTTTGAAGGTGTCTTAATGGAAGAATCTCCAAATGCTGATAAGGAGCTCGTGGCAGTTTTCATTTCCAGCCCATATAGTTCTGTCACATTTGTTGTGGATGAGATGCATGATGATTTATTACAAGGCGAAGGACTTATTACTCTTCCATCTCCTTCAAAATATCAAAAAATTTATCACAAAACTACATAATACATGACTTTACTATAGGTTTACTACAGGAAATACACAAAAAGTAGTTTTGGATAGCAGATGTAAACCTCATATCATCTCTTTCTTTGTATATTCAGCCACTGTTAGTAAAGAATATTTCCAAGACACCAAAGTGGATGTCAGTAAATCTAGTAGACTTGTAGTTAGGGTCCGCAGGGTATATGATGCCCCTCTAAGGTTTATAGGCTGTATGTTAGATGGTATTCTTGCCATTATGTAGCTTTCAATCTAGCAGACTGAAATTAATAATTACACATATGAAATTCATAAATAGAACAACATATATAAATGCAGAATAAAAATAATACCTACTTATAAATTTGCACATAAGTGTGTCTGGTAATTTTTTACTTAATGAAGGTGGATACAGATGGGTCTGGAGGGAGGAACATGAAGAACCAGGAGAATGTAAATGGTCAAGAAGAAGTGATGAGGAGTTCCAGAAATGAGGTAAGATTTGAGTAATGGGACAAATGTGACAGTTTAAATGCCAGAGGAAATCTACCATATTTTCCTCCATAAAAAGAAAATCTTCTGAAAGCAGCAATGGATATTGAAATGTTTGAAGGGAGCAATAAGTATAACAGTAAATAGAACCTGAAGTTTCCACGGAATTCTGCTGTTGAAACTAACAAAAAGATGAAAACCAAATCTAGAAAGCTAACCTGCTCTTTGGGAGGTCACCAGACAATATAATGACAACTTAAAATCAAGGTGCATATAAATCATATTAAAAAGCTATAAGGTCATGGCATTTGCTAGCTTCTTCAGGTCTGTAAGGCATAAATGGAAGTATCTCACACCTTATTTCTTGAACAAAATAATCAGTGCTCACATCTCACTTTTCTGAATATTATGAAATATCAAGATAATAATGATGTTCCAGAGCATCAGCATTCAGAAATCACACCATATTCACCAATGAACTAATTTCCTGGCATGACCACATGCTATCAGGTTGCCCAAGCATCAAGTCAAGATGGTTAAAAAAACAAAAACAATACAAACAGAAACCATTCTAAAGACTGACTGAATTCTAAGAATTAACTAAGTAAAGATTAATTGGTCAACTAAAGATAAAAAATTGAAAAACTCCAAGCAGCAGTCAACCTCAGTTTTGCTTGTCAGCATCAGTTAGGTTTTTTTGAATTATTTTGTTAAGTTTCAGGGCAATCCACAATTTTTAAGAGGCAGATTTAAACTTTATAAGACTTGAGATACAGAGGCAATAATCGAAGATTAAATTTAATTTACACCCAGCAAATAGAGGAATTTTATTCTCAAACTTTTTAGCTCTTTTTATATGCAGAAGTCATAATCACTATCAGCATGATTAACTTACTATCAATGTGATACACTGCTTACAATAAATAAAAAGAGATAAGAAGGATTAGTAAAAAGCCTTAAATTTATTGCACAACAAGATCTTCTAAATAACTGGGAACCAGAGAGATCTGCAGTTAAAATATCCACATACATATTTGGGTATATAAACACCCACATAAAAACCACATTACTATGTGGCAAAATTTTCATTTTAACAGTTTGTTACTGTTTATTTCATTTTTCTTTCTTTTTCTTTTTCTCAGACAGGGTCTTGCTCTGTCACCCAGGCTGGAATGCAGTGTGGCATGATTACAGCTCACTGCAGCCTCAAACTCCTGGGCTTAAGTGATTCTCCTACCTCAGCCTCTTGAATACCTGGGACTACAGGCATGTGCCACCACACCTGGCTAATTTCAGCATTTTTTTTACGGATAGGGTTTCATTGTATTGCCCATGTTCAAGACAGGGCCTTGAACTCCTGGGCTTAAGCAATTCACCCACCTTGGCATCCCAAAGTGCTGGGATCACAGGTATAAGCCATAGCAACTGATTTATTATGTATTTCTTATATCACTATTTAACCTACTAGATATGCAGCCCTTGTCTTCCCAATTAAATTTACAATCTCCTTGAGTGATGGACTTCATTTTACATTCTTTATATTCTTGGTAAAGTCTAAATTCAGTAGGCAATCAGTAGACAAATTGTTTTTCCAGTTTACTAAGACTTAATTGAAAATCTATTTTTTGTGTGTGATTTCTGTTTAAAAAAATCTCAATATAAATAGCATCTCAAAGTGTTAAGAGGTATAATGGTCTAAATTTGGTGAGAATGTTCACTGCACTGTATGCTAGATACACAGATGGCTGGGTGGCTGGGTGGATGTATAAATATATAGATAAGGAGATGGATGCATGGATGGATCAATGAACAGATGGGTGGATTAATAGACAGGTGGATGGATGGATGGATGGCATAGTACCTAATGCTACACATGTGTGTCCACTCGGCCCTGTCCTTGAGATTATTTTGGGAACCAAAATCTTAACTGTGGATTTTGCAGTGATTTACTATTATCTTAAGAGAAAAGTGTTGCCTCTTCTCTTCCACACACACATTTTAAAATTCCTTATCAAGGGATTTAATCAATTAAGGTTAGGTTAACTGAAATTTTACTATATAGTAGGCCCTGCAACATATGGCACTTACAAAATCTCAAAGAAACAGGGGTTAACTCTTAATAGTATTCTAAGAAGCCTAAAATAAATCACATATCAAGCTTTAAACTCACTAGCTTAAATAAAATATCAAATTTCTTTACTTTTGACTGAGAGTATCATTGGTTAATTTGTGTGGACAGGCTATGTTTGATTAATTTTAAAAAAATAAGAAATGGCTGAAATTAATGATAATGATTGGGTATCAGGATACAGCTTATTAGACAGACATCCCTAAACTTTTCCTGATGAAGTGCTACTTGTAATTTTTCCAAAATTGTATGCCCTTGTAGGTAAAATCTGAGTACAAAAGTCAAGAAAATAACCGTAAGTTGTGTGGCCTTCTTTGCACAAATCTGCCTAGAGCTATGGAGGAAACACATTGGAAGTAACCAGGAATACATCTAAGACATATCAAATGAGTGTCTTGTCACAGAAACTAATTTTGAATAAAATTTTTAAATGAAAAACCAATTAGGTGTTTTTTTCCCTAAAGGGTTAATTCATACTGAATGGGTCATTACTTATGTATAAAACTTTATTCATCTCTTAGGTTCACAAAATTAAATGCATCCATACTATTTCCTCATTAGCAAACATCCAGTAATACTTTACCACTTAAATAAATTTGCCTGGCCAGCCATCCTTAAATCTGTTACTAACTTCTTACTCTTACTCAAGAAAAGCTTAGTGAAAGTGCTTAAGTTTGATTCATGATTTTGGAAAAACTTTTAAGATATTGTTACCAAAAATGTCAAGGAGATTCACAATGCAAACATAAAAACCCTAGCCGAGGGTTCACATCTATAATTCTGTGCCTAAAACAGTGACTGGCACATAATACTCGCTTTATAAATATGTACTGAACTGAATCAAAAAAGGCAAGACAGATGCTTCCTGCACTGCAGAACTGCCGTTAGGCTGATGTCATGTCCAGTGATTGGCCAAGACAAGAGTGTAGAATGTAGGAAAGAGAAAAGACATGTCAGATTAGATGAGTCCAAGAGGTAGGCCCAGAAAAAAAAAAAAAAGAGAGAGAGAGAGAAAATTAACCAATATTCAAAAATCACCATATGTTCCCAAAGTAATGGCATAAACATCATAGAAAGGCCTATACTGATCAGCCCTCTCATGTGAACTCCTAAGAGGTAGAGGTAGTTTTGTATATGTGGATTCAGAAGTGTTTAACATGAGCACCTTACAGAAAGCTAATGGCTGTCAGCAACAAACTAAGATTCAAATGTGAAGGAAATTTGTCCTTGATTTGAAAAATATGTTCCAGAAATATAACCAGATCATATGAGGTAGTATTTGTCAAAGGATGACCCACAAGCCATAGATCTCAGAATCACTTGTGACATTATTAAAAGGCACATTTCCAAGTCCCACTCAAGACCTACAAAATCAGAATGGGGAAGATGGAGGGGGGTCACTAAGAAGCTGCATTTTTCATAAGATCCCAAGTGACAGACACTAAAGTTTAAGGCCTTTAATATAAAATCTATAATTACACGTGACTGTAGTAGAGAAAGATTGTTTCTTCTCTACTCCTGACTTTCCATTCTTTCCTTATTTCCTTAATATATGTGTTCCCATACTCTTACTCTCACTGATTAGCAACTTCCGAATGCTGTTTTAATATGGTATTTGGAACATTCTTTTTCCATTCTTTAGTGTACAGCCCACCCTCAAACTAAAATAATAACAGCTTTTTCTGTACCGGAAATCATCTCCTATGCTATGTATATAAAACCAATGATTTTTTTTTTTTATACCAAACCAATTTGGTCCCAATGAACCATTTCATTTTAAATTCAAGTTTATTTGAATCTAGTAATTCAACATTATTAAACAGTTAATATTATTCAGAGATGAAGAACCACATCTGATCTCTACTCACTGACAATACCTTGCCTACTTGAGAAGTTTCTTTCAAGTTCATGTTGTAAAAGTCTACCGGGGAATGACGACGTGTCTTTATTTAGCTTGAATTCAACCTGAAAAACATTATTAAAGAAAAAAAAATTTGGAGATGAATTTAACACTAAGCAATGAAGATAATTTAAAAACAACATATAATAACTGATACACATGCTACAATGTGGATGAACCTTAAAAACATCATGCTAAGTGAAAGAAACCAGACACAAGACCATCTAGGCAAATCTGTAGAGATGGAAAGCATATTTGTGGCTTCCACGTGTTTAAGGGAATGCAGGGAATGGAAATAACTGCTTAATGGGTTCAGGGATTTCATTTGGAATGACGAAAAAATTCTGGAACTAGATAGAGGTGATGGCTGCACCTCTGTTATTGTATTTTACCATGCACAAAATCAGGGTCACTTTTATGAGGTCAGATAAAAGATAATCCAAGCTGAGACACTTCCAATCCCTGCACTCTCACCATAAATACAATGATTAAAAGAATCATTTGCTACAAAAAAAGCACAAAATATAAATAAAATGCTGTTGAAAAACATCAGTTTTGACCATTATAATCCCTTTAAATGTCCTATTACAACATAATAAAATTGTATATTTAAGCGTTCTAAGAGGGTTTTCACTTGATCTAAAACTGATCTAAAATAATTATCTGGTAGGAAGACTGAGAAAAACAAAACCAAAACAACTTCTTATGAGTAGCCACAAAAAAACCCAAATACGTATCTTAAATGAATTAAGATGCTTCTCATTTATCCATACTACAAACATTATGTTGGCATTTGCATTAAATCCTTAGGAATTATATGATCTAAAGGTATTTTATCAGAATAGATGTGTACACAAGAGAAAGTGAATGGTTTGGAAAGAATGTTTGGATGAGGCACATGGTTCCTAGAAACATTGTAAGGGTGAAAAATGATTTATTCAGTGAAATCAATTAGGAAAGCTCTGGAGCGAATCCATTATGCCCAATTAAAGAATATTTTCAATTAATCTAGCTAACTGCTATTTATTTGAGATGATCAAATGGTCTAAGTATTCACCATTTTCATATTCATATATAATGTCATCAACAGCTGCCTCCTTGACTAATGATGCCCTTCCATTTACCTTTCTACCCTTCTTCATGCTGTTATCTGTGAATTCTGCCCTTCACTTTAGAGTTCTTCCAGTGACATCTATTTAATAACTTTTTAGGAAACACCTGAAGTGTGATGGTTAGAGGTTTCCAACTTGGTCAAAGAAAGAAAAATCATGATGTGTCTTGAGACATAGTTGTGTAGGAGGTAGGTGGGTATGAATGCTCAGGTGAGATAGAAGGGAAAGAAAAACATGTTTAAACCAAAATCTCAAAAACTAAATCAAAAGCCAGAAATTCTGGAAATGCTAGAGATTGAGCAAATAGTCTAGGAGAAAAAAGTCTCATATTCATATCTTAGCTTCTAAATAACATTAAGCCTAACGTGTCCACTGCTAACCTATTAGTTTTTCTTTCCTGATTTTAAATGGGATGTGTGGATATGCCCTCACAAATTACCATTTTATCTAAGGTGTCATCAGTAGTAAGACATACCATTATTTTACCCTCTACTAAGAAAGAAAAAACTTCCCCAATTAAACTATGACATACCATCAATGTTAAGAAGGCTCCTGATTTCAGAAATGTGTAAATATTGCTGGGTGTGGTGGCTGTTGCCTGTAATCCCAGCACTTTGGGAGGCCAAGGCAGGTGGATTGCTTGAGCTCAGGAGTTTGAGACCAGCCTGGGCAACATGGCAAAACGCCATCTCTAAAAAAATACAAAAATATTAGCCAGGTGTGGTGGCATACACTTGTGGTCCCAACTACTCGAGAGGTTGACATGGAAGGATCACTTGAGCCTGGGAAGCAGCAGTTGCAATGAGCCAAGATCATGCCACTGCACCCCAGCACCCCAGCTTCAGTGATAGAGCTAGACCCTGTCTCAAAAAAAAAAAGGGGGGGGAAATTGTAAATGTCAAAAAAAAAAAAAAAAAAAAAAAAAAAAGAAACCCTTACCTTTTGCAATCAATGAAATAACATTAAATTTTTAAAGAGGGCTATTTTGGCTTTATGTAGGCAGAAAGTAAGAACTAGCCTTAAACTGGAAATCAAATATACTTAAAATTTTCAGTTTAGAATCTACACTTTAAATCATGCTACTATTTGTGTAGAATATAAAACAATCTTCAATTTAAATGCCAACCTGCTTAAATCTTACTTTGTTTTTTTCAGGAAGCGATGATGTTTGAATAACCAGATGAAGCCCACAGTTCACCTGAAATGTAAAAATTAAACCATAAAATTTGCTCTTAATACACAAACACATATTTCCAAAAATGTACATATAAAAATAAAACAAAAAATTAGAACAGAATGCTCGATTTCTGTTTCTGGCAAATGGTCTTGAGCTGCGGATTTGCTGAAAACAATAAAAATCACATCTAAGAATTAAAAGGTTTCACTGATTTATTTTCCAAAATGTCGGCAGTAACTTAACCCTCTAGTTAGTACCTCAGGCTTTCGACATTTGCCATTCATGTCTAAATGAATATCTCAATGGGACAGGTGGAGGGGGTGGGAGTCCCTAACGATAAATTCTCTTCACAGTTAAATGGGGACAGGGGTGGGGGGGCAGAAAAAGGAATTGACTGGCTAAAGGAATTTAAATAAACCCGAGCTTTTTACAGCAGACCAGCTCCACCTTCTGGGGAGCCCGGATCCTGGACAAGACTTTGAATACGCATCATGCAATATTAAATTGTGCCTTGGTCCAGCCCACGAACCTCAAGCCCAGGTCAGACAATAGCTTGAGTAGACACAGCGGTCCCGGTCCCAATAATGCAGCCCATCTTCTAGGACAAAGACGCCAGTCAGAAAACATACCAATGTGAAGAAAGAGAAAGGTGAAGGCCCAACTTACGTTGTTCGCAGCCCGGCCAGAAATAGAGCGGTATTTCCCAGGAATCATGATAGGAGACAGTCCAGGATATCTGATAGATCTGCCTTCGAGGTGACGCTACAGCAGATATTCAAAGAGACCCGAAAGAGGTCATCTCCCCGGCAACCGGCTCAGGGTTACCATAGAAACGACCATTTCCGGTCTGGACCTCGCCCTAATCGACGGGGCAACGCAGTCGTTGTAGCCTCTGGTTGTCTTCGTGAGGGCCCAGTGCGTCACCACTTCCTTGTTCTATCTTCCCGGCCTCATAAACACAGAGCAGGAGTACAGGGAGGAGGATAAGCTGGGGAAGAGGCTGGGCGCATTGGTAGCTATGACAACCACCACTTCCGGTCCGTCCCTCTTTACGGCCCACCTCAGCGCGACTCGCGCGAAATTTGTATCCCTCTGCCTGTGTCCACTGGTTCCCGGGTAGCCGTGCCGGAAAGAGGAGGAGGAAGATATCGAAGAGCCCTCCCACGGGGGTCGGGGGCCCAGATATCCACTTCCGGTGACCAGAGGTAGGGAAGGAAGTCATCCCGATCCGGAGTGGACAGGTGGGGAGGGGACGACTTGCCTCGCCGAGGCCGCCGCCCGCCAGGAGCGTGCCCAAGGGCGAAGGTCCGGAGACCTCAGCTCCCGGGCACCGAAGACGACCGCCATGCCTGCGCGTTGCGTGGCCGCCCACTGCGGCAACACCACCAAGTCCGGGAAGTCGCTGTTCCGCTTCCCCAAGGACCGGGCCGTGCGGCTGCTCTGGGACCGCTTCGTGCAGGGCTGCCGCGCCGACTGGTACGGGGGCAATGACCGCTCGCTCATCTGCTCCGACCACTTTGCCCCAGCCTGTTTCGACGTCTCTTCGGTCATCCAGAAGAACCTGCACTTCTCCCAGCGCCTGAGGCTAGTGGCAGGCGCCGTGCCCACCCTGCACCGCGTGGCCGCCCCGGCACCTACATGGAAAGAGGAGGGAGCCCAAGCAGGCCGCCCCGACACGGGAGGAGAGCTGCAGGCAGCCAGGCGTTCTGCGGCCGTCCCGGGTCCAGTCTCCGGTACACGCCTCCGGGCTGAGAAGCGCGCTGCAGCTTCACAGGTAAAGAGAGAGACCACCAAGGGTTATGGAAGGACGCCTGGACTCTGTCTGGGCTCCCCCACTTAGCGTCACCTTGGGAAAGGCACCTCATCTCGAAAACAACATTTCTGTGTTCTAATCTGCAAAGTTAGGAATGTGCTTTAGAGGTGATCTCCAAGGTTCCATTTAGCATTCACACTTTGGAATTCAGTGACCCTTAATTAATTCCTTCTAACTGTTCCTCCTCCAAAACTCTCACGCGCAGTCTTGTCCTGCAGAGGGCTGAGCTGCTTCCACTCCCTGCTCCAGAGTTTTTAAATAGAAAGGGTTTGGTTTGAGCAAATCTCAAGAATTGGAGTGCTTGAAACTGTGTTTGCATCACATTACATAAGCTTGAAGAACGTCCATTATTTGTGTCAAAAACGTTGGGGCGAAGGAGATGTGGAGCTACAGATGAAGATGGGGCTTGCTAATAAATCCCTTCCCACCCTTAACCTTCCTTTTGACTGATACTGCCTCTAGCTGTCTTTAAGTTCAGTATCCCTGGTGAGCTGAATTTCCCCATCTTGCTCTCTTCTGCCTACTTCTCCGTTCCTGCTAAACATTGTACTCGTTTTGTATCTGGTTACTACTACCTTCTTCCCTACTTATCATTTTAAAGAAAACTTCCCAGCTTTCCTTGAGATAAACTTCAGCCTTCCCACCATTACACAGGTTAAATTACAGCAAGAGGTTAGTAATTTCCTCAGGGGTCTGTAATCCTTACTCTAGGTACGGTTACCAGACCAACACTCTTTCAGCAGTACCAACCTGCTTCCTACATTAGGGTGGGAGTTTAAGACCCTTTAATGGCATCCTGCAATTATTAGGATAAAGAACAAAATTATTAACCCAATTTACATGGCCCTGTATGCTTTTCCCCCTGCATTCACCAGCCCCATCCAAGGCCACTGTTCCCTGTTGCTCACTGTGTACCATCATGCTGACCTTTCAGTTCTTGGACATACTCTATTTCTTCCTACCAACAAGACTTTGCTCAGTTTTTCCATGTATTATAATATCCTGGAATTATGCCCCTCCCACTCCCCATCATCACCAATTAAGTCTTTTTCCTTTAAGAATCAGCTAAACGTCTTTTCTCTTGATCCCCTAGTTATATACTCTCATTCTTCATGTACTCCATGTGATTCAATAGCACAGATATTTCAATATCACTTATATATAATTGCCATGAAATAATTATGTAAGTTGCTTAATATTTGTTTCTCACATTAGAATGTAAGCTCTGTGAGAGCTAGGATCATGTCTGATTTCTTTGCCATTGTATTGCAGTGCCTAGAACAATATTTTACAAATTTAAATAATTCAATAAATATTTATGAAATGATTACACAACTATAAGAACAGTTTTTTTGCATTATAATTGAATTTTCAATTCTCTGCCAGTTTCTCTTCTCATCCAGCTGTATGTATACCTGTCAAGATACCTGCCCTTTCCTTGAACCATCTGTCCACTGTCATCAGCTATGCAAACTTTGCCCAAACATATACATCCATATACATATATATGTATGTAGAGAGATAAATAGTAAACATGTGCCACACATATACCCCTACACCATTTTTCTTCTTCATAATTATACAATCTAATAAAAAATTGGGAGAAGAAAAGTCAAGCTAGTGAAATAACCAGTCTTTGTAACCCATAAAAACCAACCATTGGGAAACAGATCCAGCATACATAATAAATCGGTTTTCCATTTAGTAAGCACAACCAGCCAACATTTATAACAATCCATATTACATTAATATACTTGCTGAATTGCTAGGAAACTATGTGTGAATTCTAAAATAGTCACTTTAGAAGTATGTAAGATTAAAAAAAATTTTTTTTAGTTGATAGCAATAAATGTTTAACATGGTCTGGATAGAGAAGCATAATAACATCCCTAAAAAATTGACTTGTGTATCTGACTTCTTCTCCCAACCAATGTTTTCGTCCCAATCCCAGGACCAACTGTCTAAAATTCAAATTTCCAGTCATTCTACATTTATTGAGTAGCTATTGTAGACAGTGTTCTGGGTGCTTGGTGCTATATAGAGATAAATATAAATATGAATGTTACATATCTTTAGCGGGATTCAGAAAAGATAAGAGACCATTTCCAAGGAAAGGGGCTTGATTATTGTTTTCCCTTAACTGTTAATTTTGCATTCAATTTCTCTTAAAAGTGTTGTATGGCATTCAACTAGAGGTCTTATATATCTTTCATTAGATTTATTCACAGTATTTGATTTTGCTACTATAAATGGTATTTTCAATGTTATAATCTATAAGTGTATGTTGATAAATTAATTTTTATTGAACTTGTATCCAAAAACTCATTTATTAATTCCAATAATTTATAAATTCTCTTGAATTTTATACATGTATAAAAATATAATCTGAAAAAAAGGTTTTGATGTTCATGTTTTTATTTCGTATTTTTCCTGTTGCACTGGCTTGAACCTGCCGTACAGTGCGGGGAGCAGAAGAGGTGCGGGTAACCCTTTTCTCATTCCTAGTTTCAGAGAGGAAGCCTTTAACATTTCCCCATTTGATACGATTTTTGCTATAGTTTCTTCTAGCTACTCTTTGTAATAAAAAGAAATGTTCCCCTTTATTCCTAGTTCAAATGATAAATAATGGTGAATTTTATCAAATGGTTTTTCTGAGTCTATTAAGGATAACATTTTTATTATGTTAATATAGTAAATTATATTGCCTGGTTTTAAAATACAGAATCAAACTGGCATGGCTAAAATAAACTCAATTTGATTAAAGCACTTTATTCCTTTCCCATATTGCTTACTAAAATATTAGCAAAAATAAAATATTTAGGATTTTTGCATCTGTGTGCATGAGTGAAACTGGCCTACGTTTTTTTCTTTCTTGGAGTGTCTTTCTCAGGTTTTGTTGTGAAGTCTATGCCAACAAATTTGGAATTGTTCTCTCTCTTCATTCTCCGGAAATGTTTATGTAAATTGGCATTATATATTCACTAATACATGTGATATTAATACTTGGTAGAGCTCATTGATAAGATACCTAATCCTGGAGTTTTCCTTTTGGAAAGTTTTTTTTTTTTTTTTATTTAAATGATCAATTCAATTTATTTGTTACAAGGTTACTCAGAGTTCTTTTGTTTATCCATTTTGATACATAGTATCCATAGTATCTTTTAAGCTGTCTGTTTCATTTAAATTTTTTTTTTTTTTTTTTGAGACGGAGTTTCGCTCCTGTTACCCAGGCTGGAGTGCAATGGCGCGATCTCGGCTCACCGCAACCTCCGCCTCCTGGGTTCAGGCAATTCTCCTGCCTCAGCCTCCTGAGTAGCCGGGATTACAGGCACGCGCCACCATGCCCAGCTAATTTTTTGTATTTTTAGTAGAGACGGGGTTTCACCATGTTGACCAGGATGGTCTCGATCTCTCGACCTCGTGATCCACCCGCCTTGGCCTCCCAAAGTGCTGGGATTACAGGCGTGAGCCACCGCGCCTGGCCTCATGTAAATTTTTAAATGTATTGACACAAAACCTTCATGATAATTTTGTATTTGAAAAAATTCTGTTTGAGCCGAGGTAATTTTTGCTTTTTCATTTTTTCTTGATCGGCTTCACTGGATGGTTTATCAATTTTTCTTTCTTCTTTTTTAGACGGAGTCTTACTCTTTTGCCCAGGCTGGAGTGCAGTGGCGCCATCTCGGCTCACTACAAACTCTGCCGCCCAGGTTTAAGCAATTCTCCTGCCTCGGCTTCCTGAATAGCTGGGATTATAGGCGCCTGCCACCTCGCCTGGCAGAGACGGGGTTTTGCCATCTTGGCCACCCACCTCAGCCTCCCAAAGTGCCGGTATTACAGGCGTGAGCCACCGCACCCGGCCGGCTTATGGATTTTTATTAGTCTTTTCAAAAAATAAACTTTGCCTTGTTGATCTCTCCAGAATTTTTTTTCATTTATTTCGCTTATTCATTATTCCCTTTCTCTGCTTTTTAAAATTTTGTCCACTGTTCTTTCTTTACCTTCTTAAGAAGTTAAATTTTATCATTGATTTTCAGAATTTTTATGATGAATGCTAAATGGCACAGCTAGGTTTCACAGGCTTATTTCCCAAATGTGGAATTCAGTAAAGTGGTGCTGATAGAGGACAGCCTGGGTCCTGAGAGGAGGATACACTGGAGATACGTTGTGGAATACTTTTTGCGTGATAATAATAATTCTAATCTAAATTAAGCCTAATTAATTTTTCTATGCTAATATATGCATTAAAGATTTAAAATCCCCACGTAAGCATGCCTTTACTGAATCTTACAAGTTTTAGGTATGGAGTATTTTTATTATTTAGTATAAAATATCTAATTTCCATTATGGTTTGATCTTTTATTTGTGGATTATTTACTTGTGGATATATATATATTAACTCCAAATTCCTGGTTTAATAAGGACTTGTTTATTTTGAAGAAGAAAGGTCCCAAACATCAGGCTGTTCACAAAAATAACCCACAGTATCAACTTTAGAAAACAAATCTTAAGACTATAACACTATTTTTCTAGAGGATGCATTTGACATGCCAACTCTCATTCACAAAAATACATCGTTACATTTGTGTTGAACTGCCCCACACAGCACACTAATGTTGGGGTGTAAAACACATACTTCTAACTCAAAGCTGCTTTCAGGAGCTACTCAACTCAATGAGATTGCCTTTGCAGTTAGGCAAGCAACTACTGAACATATGTATGAATGAAAAGAACTGTGCTCCCTTCATAACAAGAGATTATTTTGGAGACAGCTGATAAAAACCATACATCCTTTTTATTGTTAAGTCATAAAGAGGTATCAAAATTAAAAGCAAAAATTACAGGGCAAGACTTAACAAAAACTACTGGGAGCGTCAAAGGAAGTGAAAATGGGACTAGGCGCAGGGAAATATGAATTAATGACATGGGAAGGACAAGGATGGGGAGAACAGTGAGCGTGTGCTGAAGACACTAGGGGAGAGGATCTGGTGAAAAATTTGATCTTAGACAAGCGCCTAGGTAAAGAAATAATGGGATACGATTTCTAAACCCCACTATGTGCTTAAGAGTCATCTTCGCCATTGGCGCTGTCTCTGTCATCCTCTCCTTCCTCAGCCTCTTTTTCATCATCCTTGATCAATTCCAGCTGGTCATCCCCCCAATCTTCATTACCATCATCACACCCCCCTCAGACTCCATCTTCACATGAGTCCCATCTTCACGGAGCTGCTGCTCGGCTCCTCTTCTGACTTACCATTCTTCATCTCTACTGCTTGTTTGCTCTGTTCCTTTTCAATTTTTTCCAGGTTTTCCAGGTGAGAATCCACTTTTTGTTTTATCTGGGTCAGCTCCTTCTTAATGGCCTGAAGGTCATCTCCTTTCAACTTTCCAGACTTGGAAGATCCCCGCTGTCCACTCTTAGAATGGAAGCCACTTCTGCCCCTTCGTGGGGTGTTTCCTGATACACACGTTTCGAGGGCGCTACAGCCTGAGCAATAGAAGGAGGAGGAGGTACACGTGCTGGGTAACTGTACATTATCATAATAATCCCGTTGAAAGTCATAGTCCAAGTCAAAAGAGGAGCCGTACATCTCCGCTGCAGATCGTTTCACACCTGCTTTTCCTCGGTTCACTTTTGGCTCTGCAGCCAGGTTAATATCTAAAACCCGGCCAGCAATCATTCTGCCATCCTCTCCCGCTACAGCAGCGCGGGCATTTCTCTCATTAACATATTGAACGAAGGCGAAGCCCTTATGAACAGAGCAGCCCACAATTTTGCCATACTTCGAAAAGATTGCCTCCACCTCAGATTTCTTGACCACGAGAGTGTTAAGATTCCCAATGAACACACGGGAGTTCATGGAGCGAAGATCTGTCTTGTTGGTAACGTTGCTGGCCATTTGTGTTTGATGACAAGGTTTCTCACAAAGCCGAAAATGTAGCTGAAGATCAAAAAAATATCACAGGTGGGAGGAGGGAGAAGAGATTCGATTCTGAGCCTCCTACTCCTGGGTTCTACGTGCAGAAGCCGACTGCTGCTCGAGGTCGGCAACGCGGACGCAACCGCTCAGTCTTCCTCTCTTCACAAAATCTGGAGTGTATCTTTTAATTTCCAAATCTCTGGGCACTTTTTAGTCCAATTTTTGCAATAGATTTCTGGGCCAGTTACACTATTGCCAGAGAAAATACAATATATGGACTTAATCTTTTGAAATTTTTTGAAACTTGTATTATGCCCAAAATAGTTTTTTAAATGTTCCATATGTACTTGAGATGAATGTGTGCACTGCAGTTGCGTAGCGTTCCGTAGATGTCTGTTAATCATGTTTAAATTTCCTATATCCTTTTGGAGTTTTTATCTTATTCAATTAATTACTAAGAAAGTGTTGCAATCTTCCACGGCAATTTTGAATTTACATATTAATCTTCAAGTTCTATCCATTTTGTGGTATATCTCTTGAAGCTATATTATTAGGTTATTAACGATGTTATTAGGTATGCATATATTTTGAAGCTATGTTATTAGGTATGTCGTGCTAATAAAGCAACACCAGGTTTCTTTAACTTAGTGTTTGCAAAGTACATCTGTTTCCATCCTTCTGCTTTCAGTCTTTCTGTGTCCTTAGAAGTTTAGGCATTATTCTGTCTTACGGTTAACCCATTGAAGAGAATGTATCTTTTCTGCTCTGGCTGCCATTAAGTTTTTCTCTCCATTTTCCATTTTTACTGTGGTGTGCATAGGTTTGTTTTCTGTTATTTTTATTTTGATAAATAGAAAGCGTTTATAGTACTTTGTTAAAACTGTGTCTTAATGCCTTCTATCCATTTTGATAAATTCTCAGCTGTTACTTGTTCAAATATTGCTTCTGCCCCCATTTTATGTTATGCTTTTAACTCTTATCCCCTATGTCTGTTATGATACTTTCTATATTTTCTACCTTTCTTTTGCCTTTTTTTGCCTTATTCTAGATATTTTTTTAACCCATATTTTAGTGGATACATGCCTGGAAATTCTACCTCTAAGCTTTTAATCTGAGGAAGCAATCAGATATATACACAAGTGATTTATGTTCAAATATTTCTAGTAATATGGATTGTTTTAATAAATTGTATATCTGTGTAATACATTTCTATGCAGCCATAAAAATTATGATGTAGAATATTTAATAACATAGAAAGATTATATATATATATATACATATATATATATAATTGGGGAAACTAGGTTATAAAGCATTATATGATCTCAATTTTTAAAAATACATAGGAAAAGACAAAAACACATCAAATATAAAGTTTTAGCTATGAATTGTGAGATTATGACTAATTTTTAGTTTCTTTTTGCTTCTTTGGTGCAAATATTTGCAGTTTTAAAAATGTATTATTATTATAAAGGGAACAAAAGTTATTTTTTAAATCCTGATGAAATATCTAAAACTCTATTTTATCCAGAATACACGTTTTTGTAAAGAAATATGTGCTTATTCTAGACTTTGATGATGTTTGGCTTAGAAGTAGATGTAACTAGTGAAAACTGATCGTGATTTTATAAACATGAATAGAGATAAGCGCTTTAAATAAGATTCATGTTGCAAAGGGACTCTTTACAAGAATTTATTCACAAAGTTTCGTGTGTGTGTGTGTGTGTGTGTGTGTGTGTGTGTGTGTCTTTGAAACAGTCTGTTGCCCAGGCTGGAGTGCAGTGGTGTGATCTTGACTCACTGTAACCTCCACCTCTTGACTTCAGGCAATTATTGTGCCTCAGCCTCCTAAGTAGCTGATGGGCCACCACACCAGCTAATATTTGTATTTTTAGTAGAGACAGAGTTTCACCATGTTGGCCAGTCTGGTCTCGAACTCCTGGCCTCAGGTGATCTGCCCGCCTCAGCCTCCCAAAGTGCTGGGAGGCATAAGCCACTGTACCTAGCTGCAAAATTTCTTTAATTTGATTATCAATAGCCTATGGTACAGCCACCAAAGACACCTACTAAAATATTTTTTCAGTGCTTTTGAAGGCAGCGGCCACTACCTGAAGGCTGTAGACAAAATTGCTAAATATTTTAATTTTGTTTTCATTTCTCTTTCACTTATTTTCTCTCCTTCCAGGCCCTCTTCCATATAGTCTCTAAGTACCCTGTCTTATATTGTCTTTTGCATATCTAAACCCTCCTTCTTGCTACCTCTTACCCTTGTCACTTCCCCCAAACCAAATTTCATGGCCTGGCACAGTGGCTCATGCCTGTAATCCCAGCACTTTGGGAGACTGAGGCAGGCAGATCACTTAAGGACAGGAGTGTGAGACCAGCCTGGCCAACATGGTGAAACTTCATCTCTACTAAAAATACAAAAATTAGCCAGGCGTGGTGGCAAGCGCCTGTAATCCCAGCTACATGGGAGGCTGGGGCACCAGAATTGCTTGAACCCGGGAGGTGGAGGATGAGCCAAGATCATGCCTCTGCACCCCAGACTGAGTGACAGAGGGAGATCCTGTCTCAAAAAAAAAAAAAAAAAAAAAAAAATCCATTTCACAATGTAATTTTTCTCAGGAAAGTATTGAAGTCGTTTATTAAAGTAGTCCTCTATAAAGAACAAATGATTAGGTTTTCTAGAATAATATGACTGCTAAGATATCAAATAAGTTAATACTGATAGTATTGTCTTGGCTAGGCATGGTGGCTCATGCCTGTAATCCCAGCACTTTGGGAGGCCAAGATGGGTGGATCACCTGAGGCCAGGGGTTCAAGACCAGCTTGGCTAACATGGTGAAACCCATTTCTACTAAAAATACAAAAAATTAGCTGGGCGTGGTGGCATGCACCTGTGATCCCAGCTACTCAGGAGGCTGAGGCAGGAGAACCCAGGAGGTGGAGGTTGCAATGAGCCAAGATCGCACCATTGCACTCCAGCTTGCGCAACAAGAGTGAAACTCCATCTCAAAAAAACAAAAAATAGTATTATCTCTTCTAGCTGTTGATTTAAGAAAAAAGTAATTATTTGTAAGCAAATAGCTTATACATTCTGGTTGACCAGAATTTATGATTTATAAGTGGAAAAAAGACAGTATGGAAGAATTCTTAAAACCTTGGAGTAGGTTCAAATATCAGCCATACTAATATGAGACTTTGAAATTTTTTAGCTATACTCTTTTACCACTTGTGACTTTTGAAAGATAAAACCCTGCAAGGTGGACTTAACTTTAATATGATTCTCCTATGATTTATATTTTTAGATTACATGTGAAAATGAAGTCATGCAAACCCAAGCCCATGCTGATAATCCATCTAATGTCACTTCAGTGCCTACTCACTATGAAGAAGGCCCAGTGCATAAAAGTACACAAATTTCTTTGAAAAGGCCCCCTCACCGTAGTGTGGGTATGTTTTGACTCCAGTGGTTTAAGCAATTAAATTGATCTTTTGCATATTCAAGATATATGAAAAGCAAAGTCTAACTCATAGATACTTACGCTTATTCTCTTTCAGGTATTCAAGCCAAAGTGAAAGTGTTTGGAAAAAGACTGTGTAATGCAACTACTCAGACAGATGAATTGTGGTCTAGAACTTCTTCTCTCTTTGACATTTACTCCAGTGATTCAGAAACAGATACAGACTGGGATATCAAGAGTGAACAGAGTGATCTGTCTTACATAGCTATAAAGGTGAAAGAAGAGACATGTGAAAAAATCAACATCAAATGCTCTGAGGTGCTATAGATTTTCAAATCTTTACTCTTTTTGCTATTGTAAATCTTTCACTTCCAGATAATTTGACAGTTGAGTATCAGCAAAATGTGTTTAGCTCTATGGCAAAAATTGCTTGCTTGCCAACATAATGAAGATAATCCCCATCCACAAACATCCCTACACTTTACTTTCACCACTTTTTTCTTTTCTTTTCTTTTTTTTTTTTTTTTTTTTTTTTTTTTTTTTTTTTTTTTTTGAGAGGGAGTTTCACTCTTGTTGCCCAGGCTAGATGGAGTGCAATGACATGATCTCAGCTCACCGCAACCTCCGCCTCTCAGGTTCAAGGGATTCTCCTGCCTCAGCCTCCCAAGAAACTGGGATTATAGGCATGCACCACCACACCCAGCTAATTTTGTATTTTTAGTAGAGACGGGGTTTCTCCACATTGGTCAGGCTGGTCTGGAACTCCCGACCTCAGGTGATCTATCCACCTCGGCCTCCCAAAGTGTTGGGATTACATGAGCCATCATGCCCGACCTCACCTTTTTTTTTCCTTTTAATCCTTTCGGTAGAAATCAGGTTACAAAGCAAAACCACAATATCAACATTTTCTAATCACAATTAAGCACTGAATATTTATTTAAGCTTAGTTCAGAAGCAGTGCTTCTATGGGACTTACTTGACATTTGCTGGTTAGAATGTCACTATTCTTCTAAATAATTTGAAGGAATAGAGTAATAACAGTGAGCACAGTCAAGCCTGACACTACTAAATGATTTGGTAGTGAAATGTAGAACTTCTTCTAGAAGGACATCTATTCTTCACTGTTTTTTGTTATTTATTTATTAGTTTGTCCATTTATAACATATATGGATCTGTCCTGTGATCATTTCTGATGAATCTGTGGTTCTTACAGAAATTTTTCAAAGGGAATCAATTTAGAGATGAAGTTTTCATACACTTACATTAACTTATTAATGAAATCTATTTGCATCAGTTCCTACTGCAACACATTAATTAGCTTGATTAATTTAGATTAGAATCATTAACATCATGAAAAAAAAGTGTTACATGTCTAATGTATTCCCATTGCAGGTGTTAGGGTTTTTTTTTCTGTAAATACCCCTCTTTTGAATTCTACATTTCAGAAATAAGCATGGAAATATTAGCTACCCCATCTGCCATTCACCATGAAAAATTTCTCTGGTGATTTTGTACCATGAAGTAAATTATTACAGTAGTTTCTGAGAAGCATACTGTAACTCTGATCTTCTATTGAGAATAATAATAACAAATACCAACTTTATACCTCATATATCTTCTTAGTTCTGCATGATTAGAAGAACTTGCATGTGTTTTTATCCTAGAAGGTTTAAATAATACATCAAAGGGATTTCTTCCAAATCTAATTTTATGTCTGCTCTAATTTGAATAGTGTGATTTTAATTTTAAGGACAATAATAATAAAATATTAATAGAATTTGTGAGCCTGAACAATGATTTTGTAAAAATACAGCATTATTATTACTTTCATTGTTGTTATCACTGCTTTGACTTGAATTTGAGATGTCTCATTTGCTTGTTTTACAGACAGGGTCTTGTTCTATCACTCAGGCTGGAATGTAGCAGTGCAATCATAGCTCATTGTAAACTCAAACTCCTGAGCTCAGACGATCCTCCTGCCTCAGTCTCCCGAGTAGCTAGGACTATAGGTGTGTGCCACTATACCCAGCTAATTTGCTTTTTATTTTTTCGTGGAGATGGGGTCTCACTATGTTGCCCAGATTGGTTGCAAACTCCTGGCCTCAAGCAGTCCTGCTACCTCGGTCTCCCAAAGTGCTGGGATTACAGGCATGAGTCACTGGACCTGGCCTGTTTTAAGAGAGCATTATGTTTTAAAATGAATCATATAAATCTTCTGAAGTTAAATACCATTAATAAGTACCCTTCGAGCTTTGAAATAGCCATCTCCCTAATTCAAACCATAATGAATGTTACATGCCCATTTGTCCCCAAATCTCACTGCCATGAATCTACTTCATTTCTACACGTTGAACAGTTTTGACAGCCATATCAACACTTTTTTTACTCTTCACTTAGTTTTCTTCTTCCACCAATTGAGAATTTATACTTGATTTGTTGATTTACATGATTTCTTAATTTATTGTGTAATTGTTCACTGCCCTACACAGTAAAAGGAAATGCCATTTTTATTTTAAATGACATATAAGGGACTTACAGTTTATAACATACTGTTTGATTTTTGCATAAATATTTTTAATTTTATTTTGTTACCAGATCAGTTTGGTGGGGGAAAAATCAATTTACCTTAGTACCTCCCATATCATTCTTTATTTATTTATTTGTAAGTATTTATCAAACATATACTCTGTGCCAGATAACTGTTCACTAAGGACACATTTGTGATGAAGACGAAGATTCTGGTCCTCCTGGTGCTTGACTTTTAGTGAGGGAGCCAGACAATAAACAAGAAGATGAATGAATAATTTCAGATAGTGATTAGTGCTTTGAAGAAAATAAAGTAGAAGAAAAGGTTAATGGAGATGGGGGGAGAGGTTTGTTAAGCTGTTTTAGATAGAGTAATCAGAAAAGACCTCTCTAAGGTGAGCATATATGATCAGAGGCCTGAATATTAGGAGCAACCAGCCAAGGATCTGAGGGAAGAGAATTTCAGGTGATAGGAACAGCAGTTGCTCCGGTGTGTCTGAGGAACAGTAAGAAGACTAGGGTGGCTAGAGATCATAAACTAAACGGAGAATGGTAAGAGATGAAGTTGGAGTGCTTTATAAGACCAGAACATGTTATGGTATTAGAGGCTACAATCAGGAATTTTTATTTTATTCTGGGCTTAAATTATATTTTAAATGTGTTCTTATGACTGGTTTATCTGCCAGTATTTATTTCTTAAACTTACTTGGGAACACATGAAACATCACTGGACTTTAGATGAGAGAAGAGAGACATATCAAGAGTATGTGACTGTAAAGCTGATTCAGTCAAAAATATTCCTCTGTGGGACTTCTGGAAAGCTTCAGTCTCACTGGCCTGAGGAATCAGAGGTAGGAATTCAGTGCTGCCAGGGTGAAAAATGATGCGGCAAGTCATGGAAAAGAGGAAGCCAGAGGGGAGGAGACCCCAGATCTCTTAAAAACTCCACCCAAATCTCTGCCTAATCACTGAGCTGTGCCTGTGTTGTGTGTGACCTCAGGGGGCCCAGCATAAAACAATGGTTGCAAACCTTAGCTTAGCTGCTAGTCATCACAGTGGAAGTGGAGTTTGGAGTTTGAGTCCAGCCAAGTTAACCAGCTGTGACAATAAAATTCAAGTGCTTAGGAAGAAGATAACAATTTATCATCCAAAATGTCCAGTATAAGATTTAAAATTGCTAGTCACGTGAAGAAATTAGAAAGTGTGACCTAATATCAAGACAAAAAGGAATCAATAGAAACAACCCCAAGATGACCAGATGAGAACTTTAAAGCAGTTATTATAAATATATTCCAAGAGGAAAATGTAGTCATAATGAAGAAATAGAAGGAATCTCAGCAGAGAAGTAGAAACTAAAAAAAGAACCAAATGGAAATTCTAGAACTAAATCCGACAAGCTATCGAAACTGGCACAAGGAGAAAGAGAAAGTTTAGATCGCCCTGTATCTGTTAAAGAAATTGAATTTGTAATTATAATCCTTTCCACAAAGAAAACTCTAGGCCAAGATGACTTCACTTTTAAAGTCTGTCAAACAACATAAGAAAGAATATCAATCTTAGGCCAGGCGTGGTGGCTCACGCCTGCAATCCCAGCACTTTGGGAGGCCAAGGTGGGCAGATCATGAGGTCAAGAAAGAGATCGAGACTATCCTGGCCAACATAGTGAAACCCTGTCTCTACTAAAATACAAAAATTAGCTGGACGTGGTAGCACACTCCTGCAGTCCCAGCTACTCGGGAGGCTGAGGCAGGAGAATTGCTTGAACCCAGGAGGCAGAGGTTGCAGTAAGCCAAGATCGTGCTACTGCACTCCAGCCTGGCACCTGGCGAGAGAGCAAGACTCTATCTTAAAAAAAAAAAAAAAAAAAAAAACCAATCTTATACAAGCTCTTCCAAGAGAAAAAGACTAGGGGAACACTCTTCATCTCATGAGTTCATCATTAACCTATTACCAAAACTATGCAAAGACATTGCAAGAAAAGAAATTGCAAACCAACATCTCTTGTGAAGATAAATTTGTATCTTAAACTATTAGCAAACATATCCTGCAATATATTATAGAAATAATACATCATATCCAAGTACAGTTTAGCTCAGCTAAGGTTGGTTTCACATTCAACAACCAATCAATGTAATTCACCATATTAAGAGAATGAAAGAGAAAAATCATATCACCTTAATCTTGCTACATTTTAAAAGAGCATTTGACAAAAGTCAATATCTATTCATGATAAAATCTATCAACAAACTAAGAATAGGAAGGAATACACTTTCTTCATCTAATAGCAGCCATGAATATATACCACTAATATCCATAGTTAATGTTCCCTTAAAGGCTTTATCCCTAGATCAGGAAAAAGTGAGGATATCCATTCTTTAATACATCTATCTCGGTGCAATAAAGGCAGGGAGAAGAAAAGGAAAGAAGGCAGAAATGAAGAAAGATGGAAAAGGAAACTGCATAGATGTTTAAAAGGAGGAAATAAAGTTCTTTTTTTTTAGAGATGATGTGATTATGTACGTAGAACCTCCTAAGAAGTGTACAAAAAAGCTACTAGAACTAATAAGTGAGTTTAGTAAACTAAATGTGCAAAAATCAACTTTATTTCTATATGCTAGCAATGAACAATTGGAAAATGAGATTTTTTAAAAACCAGTTTCATTTACAATATGGAAAATGTGAAAAATTTAAAATAACAAAGTGTTGGAGAGAAAGAGCAACTGGAATCCTTTTACATTGCTGGTGGTAATATAAAATACTACAAACACTTGGGAAAACAGTGTGGTAAATTTTCATGAAGGTAACATACCCATATCATTTAATCAAACAATTTCACTCCTGGGTAC